TCACGTCTGTCCGTCCATCACGGATTCGGGGGACTGCAGCTTCTGCATGTTGTCAGCCGGGACATCGGCTCCCCCCGTCCGCCCGTCTTCCGCCAGCCTATACTGCGAGGTCAATCCCAGAAAAAAAGTTTCCCGGCAGTTGGATCAGATGAATCCTTCCGGGTAAATCGGATTTGATCGGAAGGGAATTAACACATAATGCATTGCTTATCATCTACACAGAAGCGGAGCAACCATTTATAGGCGGTACCATGTCAGCTAACAAATAAAATGAGCGCCAATTTCAGTGTTGGTACCAAGGCTCTCCTGAGCGAACGCTCCAAAATCAGTACGAACGATCCCAAACGTTCCCGCGGCCATTCGCGATGTCACACGTTCGAGACGTCGGCTCCATGTGTCACTGGTCTCCAGGCCCTGTCTGCAGGCTGACTTCTGGGTAGCTGGCTCCACATGGACTCCTGCTGCCCATCGGATCGCCACACCTCACCACTGCGATTAGTTCACCGCAGACTTTTCGGAAACGGTTGCAGCCCCGCCGCTCCACACGAGGTGATCCCGTGTTAGCCGGTCGGGCCGGCCGGGTGCCAGCGACAAGGTATATCCAGCGACTGGTCGTGGCTGGGGGGGGGGGGGGGGGGCCTGTGTCGGTGCGCCCCAGGTGCGCAGCGACGGTCGACAGAGGTGTGGTGTCTGTCGGTGGCGTACCGTACCGCAGGTATCCACACACTGCGCAGGTATCCACTACCGCCCAGCCGGCGCGGCCGGCAGACATGTAAAGTGGCCAGCCCAGGCGCCAGCACGACAGCACTGGATAGCTTAGCACGGTTTCCAGGTGTTTACACCTTGTGCCGGCTGGCGGCGATCGCTGCGGTCGGCCGAAGCCGAGCTTTGGCCGCGGTCCGGCGGCGAAAGGTGTACTCGGGTTGGAGCCGACTCAACTATTTGACGCTGCTTCGTCGCTGGGTGGTGGGCCGATTGAGCCACGGCGTCCCGGCGGGATCTGGAGCGGCCGGGGGGGGGGGGGGGCCGGGAGCCTCTCGCAGGGAATCCCTCGGAGGAGGGACGGGTGACAGAGGTGACCCGCGGAACACACCGGCCTCTGACCACCGCCACTGGGTGACAACTGACGACAGGACAGACCCGGCGACCGGCACACTGCCAGAGACCCCTCCCCACGAGACACGGGCTGATCTGTGGGCCTGGACACGACCACAGGGTTCGAAACTGACCGCTTTTGATTACGCTCTGCATTTTCAAATTGATAATGCATCATATGATTTAATGGTGTCACTCGACAAGGAAAAACGCTCACGGGTGCTTGAAATGGCCACTCTTCCTCACATTATTATTGTCGGGAATAAAATAAAATCATTTGTTACCACGTTACCTGAATCATCCTTTAGATAAAAATACAAGAATTTGATGGCTGTCAGTAGGAAGAAATGCGCACATCACTGCCTGGACGTCGCACTATACGACCATATACGACATACGTATCTGCGATATTGCTGTTCTGCCAAAACGAAAATACAATCACACTTGTGAAACACAGAACTTCCCTGCCCTTTTGAGGGTAATAAGGGGCGCGGTGTCGTCATCTGAGCCGTCTGAGGGCACAGAACGCTTTTCCGTCTTCTGAGGGTTCAATGCGCCGTCCCGCCCTCTCAAGGATCCAGGGTGCGGTGCCGTCCTCTTGAGGGTTCAGCCCCAGAGCTGGAGGTCGCATCCACTGCTCGCCCGCCGGCAGGTCGGCCCGCTCCGGGCGGAAGGCGCCCTGCACGTCCAAGGACGCCCCGTCGGCACAAAAACGACCTGAGCCTGCGCGACCCATTCAGATGCGCAGTAAAAACCGAGCCAGGCCCAGGTCCGAGCGGGCCGCTACACGACTTCCGCGCTGGCCCGGCGGGCCGAGCGCTCATCATTGCAGGCGCTGGTCCGATGCATCACCACGGTCCAGTCGCCTGGGACCCGCACCGAGCGGCAATGCACACGCACGGTGTCAGACCCCTCTCAGGCGCAGATACGGCAAACAGGAGACCCAACATTGTTCCCGCCGCTGTCCAGTGTTCACTGTTCATTGAGTCTGGCAGTCGTCGGCTCGGTATGTGGCCTACTGCAGTTGAGCTTATCACACCATCATTTCACTCGTATCGTCACTTGACACTTCCCGTCCGGCGTCCATACCGTTCCAGCTCGGTCATACCGTGACCACTCAGTCCAAGAGCTTGCATCTGCGGCGGCGGACAGCTCTCCTGTGACCGACCCACCGACCTCTCCTCAGTCGGTCAGCGCGGCTACCGGGGCGGCGGAGCGGTTCATTACCGACCACCGAGCGAATCGGCCACCACGTGACCGAGCACGCGAGTCGAGCGGCCGCGTGCGAGCGCGCAAAAACACGGCATTCATCGGGTGCCGAGAGCGAGAGTGAGCGCCGATTGCAGGAGAGGTGTCTTCCGGCGGCACCTGCCGGCCCAGAGACAACAGAGACGCAGCGGAGATGGACAGAGGACACAGAGACGGACAGGGAGACACAGGGACGGACAGAGAATGACAGGGGCAGGGAAAAGAGAGATGGCCAGGGTAGATATGGACAAAGGTGGATATTGGAAAGATTTGGCAGAGACAAGGCATGGAAACGCTCGGAGGTGGTCAGAGACTGACAGAGAAGGCATAGAAGGCGGAGATGGTCAGTGACTACCAGAGACTGACGAGGAGACACAGAGCAGTAGACAGACTATCAAGGACTAACCAGAGCAGCAAAGAGACGGGTTGAAACGGCACGGAACAAAGAGATTCAAAACCTGGTCAGAGTCGGAGTAGAGATAGCCGCGACGGGAGAGAGAGAGAGAGAGAGAGAGAGAGAGAGAGAGAGAGAGAGAGAGAGAGAGAGAGAGAGAGAGAGAGAGAGAGAGAGAGAGAGAGAGAGAGAGAGAGAGAGAGAGAGAGAGAGAGCGGGAGAGAGGGAGGGAGGGAGAGAGAATGAGAAAGACAGATTGAAAGAGAGAAAAAAAGGAAGAGATTGTGCAATGTGCAGTGTGCACCTTTGAGTGAATAGGACAAATTGAAGACAAATGCACAAATTGAGATCAGATATCCAGGGTAATTGGTCAGGTATAGAAAGGCATGGCATAGCCCCATACCTATACGGTGACTATGAAAACTGGGTGCTTCTGCCGTATTGCGATGCGACTACAGCACCAGCAGTCAGCACGATACCAAAGTGGCATCTTTGACATGCTGACACTGTGCAAACTGGAATGTCGTTTACGTCAAAGATAATTTGAGCGGAACAAGTGCACCCGGTGAGCTGGGAAGCTGCCTGTGAACGCAGTGTGACCAAAAGCCCGGCAGCGACGCTCGTCGCCCTCAAAATCAGGACAGCTGTACAGTTCTAGCACAATTCACAAACTATAGTATAGGTAGCACGGCATATAAACAGAGTTTGATTTAGGCGGCAGTATACGGGACAGTCGAGAGTGCGGGGAGGTCGGGAGTACGAACCGATCGGTACAAACTAGAGGAGTACGGACCGATCGGTACAGACCAATCGGGAGTACAGACCAGTCTGAGCACGAGCCATTCGGAGCACGGGCCAGTCAAGAAACTCTCGAGTATAGGTATACGGCAAGCGTAACAGGCACGTAACAGCGGTCCCACAGTGTTCGAACGGCCACGGCGCGGCACACAGGGCGACGGGTCCGGCCGGGCAAGGGTCGCCGCTGGCGCCGCGTCTTCCTGGTCCGCTTGACCCCGCCCTGACCCCGTTCTGATCTGCTCGACCTCATCCTGGTCCAGCTGGTTCCGCACTCATCCGAAATGGTCCAGCTGGTCTCGCAGTTCCCACCTACAGGTGCAATTAAGCTTAAGAATTACGTGTACCCCATCCGTTTTTAATCGATTCGTCGGTTATTATATGGTTTTATTCTGTTGACGAACTCATTGGTTCAATTATTGCGGGGATCACAAAGGTCCGAATAATTCGAGGAAAGCAATGGAATAAGAAAAAGCAGCCCAATAAGCTTCACGAACGCCAAGCTATGCATTCGATGAAATATTCCACTAATTTGATTTGATCAGCATATGGTACGGCTGGACGGACAGACTGCCGTACGACTGCCAATTGCCACGGCGCCTCCTGCCGACCCTTCCGTCTTGGGACTCCGTCTGGCGGTTACTACGGGCCGAGACGAGGGGGAGAGGGGCAGAGTGGCAGAGGGACTCGGTGACCTGAGAGGGGCGCCTGCCCGACCCCGGCTGAGGGATCGGGCGAGACGCCTGGCCAGGGACTTCGGGGCGACAGAAGCGGGGACGCGAGGGGTGAGCAGGCAAGGGGATGGGTGGAGGAGAGGGAAGTGGGGAGGTAGTGAGAGGGTCAGGGGCTATGCAAGTTTGTTTGTTTTGTTGGGTTAGGCCCTTTCGGTCCAATTAGACCATTTCAGAGCCGGGAGGATGATAGGATATAGGGGGAGACATTGGTCTGGGCAGGCACCCTAGTGAGTCGCCGGGGCTGAGCCCGTCCAGAGGACAGGCCACCCAGCCCCAAGGCACTCACTGCACCCGGCTACGGGGTGCGCTCCCTCGGGAGCAGCGGTGCCGCTCCAAGGGAGCAGCCCGCATGAGATAAAGTTGCCTGTCCAGCCCGGAAGGGGGTTGCGGCGTGGAGGAGAAGGATTTCAGTATCCTGAGGATAGAAGCACGGAACGGTGATGGCTATGCAAGGGGCGGATGAAGGGGTGATGTGTGGTGGGGTGGTGTGAATAGGGAGAAATGAAGAGGGTGGTATAGAAAGGCAGTACTTATATAATACGGTGTTTTAGGGCCGGCGGCGCGAGCTGGAGACCGGAGGGAGGGGGACGGTCGAGCCCACCTGATCAAAACACAGCGTCACGATCACACCCACCTGATCATAACACGTCACGAACACGCCCCCTCTGATCAAACACAGCATCACGATCGGACTCAGCGGCAGCCGCGGCCGCGTCCCCCGTCCCCGAACCTACCTTCCATCCTGCCGAGCTGGTGCTGTCACCCTTATCCTTGAACCATGGGATGTTGGTTACCATCCAGTCGTACACCTGGGCTAGCGTCAGCCTCTTCTCGGGCGACGAGAGGATGGCCTGCGTGATCAGGTCGGCGTAGCTGTGCGGCCCCCAGGCGTTCCGCCGGTTAGAGTTTTTCGGTTTGGGCAGCACGGCCGTGGAATCGGAGGCGGGCTTGGCGGCGTCGGTGACCATCGGCACGGTGCCCGGCTCCGTCTTACAGATCAACAGGCCGCCGCCGCTGCCGTTGTGGCCAGGAGACGGCATCAGCGCCGCCGCCTGCTGCTGCTGCTGCTGCTGCTGCTGCTGCGGGGGAGGTGGCGGCGGCTGCTGCGGAGGCGGCGGCGGCGGTGGTGGCGGTGGGGGTGGCGGCGGCGGCGGCGGTGCCGCATTTTGGTGGAAGTTTTGCTGCTGAATGTCCCAAGTGGACGCCTCCGGCAGGTCATCCAGCGGGTGCTGGTTCTCAACATAGTCCTCGGGTCGGGGCAGGGGCCACGTGTTGGCCCGGGAGCGCTGCTGCGGCTCCAAGTTCGGGTCAAAGTTCTCCTCCCCCGACACGTCTGCCATATCTACGAACTCCACTGTGGCGGCTGCTGAGTTCACGGTCAGTGTCCACGTACACACCGGTCACGGCCCGGCCGTCCGCGCGCGATCGCCGGCCGCTGTCTCACTGAGCGCCGTCGCGACGTGCCCCCATGCCGGCGGCGTAACACCCTCTGCGGAGCGGCCCGAGCCGGCGGCGCCCGCTGGGCTCTGAACTCTGAACCGGCCCGCCGCGACGCGCCGCCCGGCCGACAGCTGATAACCAGGCGTGACGTCAGCGCGCCGCAACCCTTCGGCGCCGGCCACGAGATGTCGCCTCGCTCCGCCCGGCGCGCCGCCGCCGCCGGCTAATGCACGCATTTCTATGCGTCGACCGTCGGCGGATCCCTCCTCTCGTGCGTCGCCGCGCTGAAAGAAGGCGGACGGCGGCCGAAATGTGGCCAGCGTCCCCGCCGCCGCCGCCGCCGCCGCTGCTGTCATAATCCGGGTGTGATCTGTGACGGAGGCCGCGGCGACGCCGGCGGACCCGACTCCAGCCGGTGGTCAGCAGTAGTCATACCACCGGGCATAGCAACAGAACGGCCGCATGACGCGGCTGCTGAGGGAGCTTACGGGAACTCCTCCGTCCCTGCCCTAGCGTAAGCTCCACGATGAGTGCTCCGTCCGTCCGATCCGTTCGTGGCCCCGGAACTTTAGAAGGAATGCAATCAAAATGTCACAACCATGGGTGAAACTTTGACATTACCATTGGGGTCCCAAACGTCCAAGGGGGCCTCCATTTAGTGGGGGGGGGCCTCCAAGCAATTAGGGGCCTCCAATCGTGGAAGCGGTAATTTACGAACCACGCCAGGGCCTCCTCTAAGAAATTTTCACTGGGGGACCAGAGGTTCAGAAGCCAAACCCAGGGTACCCTCAAATCCAGTTTTCTCATCGGATTTAGGCCACTTATTTTTCGTCACAGCTCGGATGCCATGATTTAATTTTTTAATATTAATAAAGAAATGATAGGTCACCTGACCCTACTGGTGGTTCAAGGCCAGCAGGGTGACATTGTATGTAAATTTCCCCCGCGGCGTCCGAAATCGACGAAAATTTCTGGCTTTTTCACTTTCGACAATAAAACAAAATGCCTTTATTATAAAAAAGAATTTAACTGCACAGCATTGCGCAAGGAATCTAACCGACCCCAGAAAGTGTGAGGGTTAACCCTCGCCCGCACCTGGGGTGAGGGTTGCCAACCCCCAAGTTAGTTTTTTTTTTGCTCTACACTGAACATTTTAAAAAGCTAGAAACCTGATTTTTTGTATAGCTGTTTTTCTATCTTTTCTCAGCGTCCATTGGAAATTTCAAGTTTCTGTGGCTTTTGGGTTTGGAGATATGACCTTGTTCTTCAGGTCATGTCATGCCCTAAATGACGAATACCCAATGTCTTGCGTTGGCTATGGGCCTTGTGAGCTTTTGACACCCTGATTTCGTTTTTTTTTTTGCCAGTCTTACCTCCCACCTATCATTGAACATGTTGTTCTGCGATGTAGGTACAGATGTCGGGGTCAGGGTCAAGGTCAACCTAGGTTATCTAAAATTGTTGCGTTTTAGGCAAGCTGAATTTACTTTTCGTGAAGTTTCTTTGACTGCATGTTTAGTAAAAGCTTCTCAGTTCATGATCTCATGTAATAGGCAGGGACACACAAACCAATCTGTGCACACATCAGTACATACACAGACATACACAGACATACAAACACATATCATTGACCTTGACCTAACTTGACGTGAAATGACCACAGCCAGCAAATTAGTCGGATAGTGTGACAAAGAGCTGTTCTAGCTGGCTTGGCACTAATACGGCAGCGTCATCGGTGTATGATGGGTTGGCCCGCTGCTTGTGTAGGTATTTTATTCGACATCACCACAATTTTTTTCTTACAAGATTTTAAGCTTCGCGGTCAAGAGCAACATATTCTTTGGAAAGAGACGAATCCAATGATTAGATGACCTAGGTTGACCTTGACCCTGACCCTGGCATCTCTACATCATCGAACAACATGTTCCATGATAGGTGGGAAGTAAGACTGTCAAAAAAGGCCGAAATCAAGGTGTCAATAGCTCACAAGACCCATAGCCAACGCAAGATATCGGGTATTTGTCATTTGGGTTATGACATCACCTGAAGAATAAGGTCACATCTCCGAAACCAAAAACCACAGAAACTTGAAATTTTCAGTGAACACTAAGAAAGGAATTAGAGAAGCAGCTATACAAAACATCCGGCTTCTAGCAATCAAAATGTTAAGGTCAGAGCAGAAAAACTACCTGGGGATGTGGGTGGCAATCACTGCCCCCCTATGTGCGGGCGAGGATTAAATAATTTGAATATCAGGAAAATAATTTATTCAAACAGGTATTCCAATAGAGTCCCGCTTTTTATACGTGACCTCCGATTTGTGTAGCATCTAAGTTGCCCAGGGGGCCTCTTATTTGTAGGCACAGTACAGAGAGCCTCCTACTTCGACTACTTGCACAGAGAGCCTCCTTTTTGTACATACAGCTAAGCTTCTACAGGTCGAGCGCCGGTCTTCTATTTGTACGTACAGAGAGCAGTCCTTACTGTTACAGAGGGCCTCCTATTTGTCTAGGGGGCCTCCTATTGGTTAATGGCGCCTCCTATTTGTCCAAGGGGCCTCCTATTCGTCTAGGGGGCCTCCTATTTGTCCAGGAGGCCTCCTGTTTGTCCAGAAGGTCCCCTATTTGTCCAGGGAGCTTCTATTTTCCAGGGGGCTTCCTCTTTATCCAGGGGGCCTCCTACGTGTTCAGGGGCCTCCTATTTGTCCAGGGGCCTCCGATTTATCCAGGGGTCTTCTATTCGACCAGGGGTCTCATATTTGTGCAGGGGTCTCCTACTTGTCCAGGGGCCTCCTTTTTGAATGGCCTCCTTTTTATTAAGGGAGCCTTTTATTTGTCCAGGGGCCTGCTATTCGTACAGAGGGCTTCTAGCTCCTACTTGTCCATGGGGCCTCCTATTTGTTCAAGATGCCCCTATTTGTACAGGGGGCCTCCTATTTGTCCAAGGGGCCTGCTATTTTTCTAGGGGGCCTCCTATTTGCCCAAGAGGCCTCCTATATATCCAGCGGGCCTCCTACTTGTTTAGGGGGCCTCCTATTTGTCCAGGGGGCCTCCTATTAGTTAAAGTAGCCTCTTGTTTTCCAAGCGGCCTCCTTTTTATCCAGAGGGCTCCTATTCCTATTTTAGGGGGCCTCCTCTTTATCCAGGGGGCCTCCTTCTTGTTCAGGGGGCCTCCTATTTATCCAGGGGCCTCCTATTTGTCCAGGGGGCCTCCTTTTGTGAAAGGGGCCTCCTATTTGTCCAGGGGCTCCTAATTGTCCAGGGGGCCTCCTTTTGCTGAAGTGGCCTCCTGTTTGTCTAGGTCTAGGGCCTCCTATTTCTCCAGGGGGCCTCCTATTTGTACAGAGGGCCTCCTACTTGTCCATGGGGCCTCCTATTTGTTCAAGGGGCTTCTTATTTGTACAGAGGGCCTCCTATTTGTCCATGGGGCCTCCTATTTGTCTAGGGGCCTCTTATTTGTCTAGGGCCTCCTATTTGTCCAGGAGGCCTCCTGCTTGTCCAGAGAGCCTCCTATTTCTCCAGGGGGCCTCCTGTTTTCCGGAGGGCCTTCTACTTGTTCAGGGGGCCTCCTACTTGTTCAGGGGGCCTCCTATTTGTCCAAGGGGCCTCCTATTTATAGAGAAACTTCTAGAGAACCTTCTATATGAACATCGGATCTCCGTTTGTAAAGTACCTGGTGCGTCTCGGGGGCCTCCACTATTGGGGTCCCAAAATGACAATTGGGGTCCCAAATGTTCGCTTTGGGGTCCCACATGGGACCTCAAAAGTATACAAAGTTACACCCATGGTCACAACTCACAGTAGATATTGATATAAAAATATCCACTTGGGCCACTTGACCTGAGACCTTAACCCTCGCCTGTGTGCGGTGTTTTCAGCGTCTTATGTGTAGAAAGGAGGGGGGGGGGGGTCGGTTGGACCCCCTGCCGTTCGGCCTCTGATCGAGCTAGAGCTTCGCGAAAAAAAAACGAGCGTGCTGCCCGCGACGAGAAGAGGCCGATGATACCCAATTTTAACCCTCGCATGTGTGCGGCGTTTGCCAGCCTCTAATGTGTAGGGGAGGAGGGGGGGTCGGTTGGACCCCCCCCCTGCCGTTTGGCCCCTGATCGAGCTAGAGCTTCGAGGAAAAAAACGAGCGTGTTGCCCGTGACGAGAGGAAGCCGATGATACCCAATTTTAAGGTCCTAGGTCATTGGTTGACCTTCCAGGTCAGGTCAATGACCCAAGGTCGGGAAAATCGGGACCTGTTAGAAAGGCTAAGAGGTTTTTCGGGACGCTGATCACGATTATCGTGTTAGTTTTGATCACAGATGATGTCTTTAAGCATTTAGACCAGGTCGGGTCAGGTCAGGTCAGGTCAACCAGTAGGCGTCGTGACGGGTATTCGTAGTACGTGTCAACCGCCTCTGACTGCTTCGTAACATGTTACGAAGTCACCCAAACTAGGGTAACTGTGGGGAAAACGCACCTCTGTGTTAAACGCCTCCCCTAAAAAAATCGTATTTCTTATCGACGGATAGGTGTTTTATCCTGTCTTTCAGAACAGTCAGCGACTCAGCTGCTTGTTTACGTAGGCCTCTATTTCCGGTTCTGCGTCTTCAGGAGCAGCGTGGGTAGGTGCTGATGTTGGTTTTGGGTGTTGTTTTTGTTGTTTTTACAGAAGATTCCTAATATTTTGATGCCCTCTTTATATCACAAAACTTGCTATTGTGCACATCACTCAAAACTGCGTTTTATTGTCATTCTGTTGAATTTATTATGCTGCGGCGTTAGTGGCGCGTTTTTTTTTGTCAATATTTTGTTGACCGGAAATGGAGTGGATGGGGAAAGACGCCTATTCATTCGATGCATGGGGCAAGACGCCCCCAGTTTTCTGAAAGGGGGCGTTTTGCACGGTGGTGACAGTGCAGGGTAGCGCCCTGTGGGTCGGGGCCGAAAAGAATTACATGACAAAAAGTCAAAAGACAAAAAGTCAAAAGACAAAAAGTCAAATGTCAAAAAGTCAAAAGACAAAAAGTCAAAAAGATAAAAGTCAAATGGCAAAAAGTCAAATCCGCTAAAAGCCAAAAGACAAAAAGTCAAAA